GGCAAACCAAATCCTGGGTTGTCATTAAGGCAGCTTTCTGAAGATGGCTTTATAAAACCAGAAAGGAAAAAGCCATTTTAAAGTGATTTGCAAGAAGGGTATATACCTCTACAGAGAAATCTTCGTTTGGGTCATTTGGATTTCTCTCTTTTCCCTGGAAGCAGCTAGTCAAAACTGTCTGTATGCAACAGAAAGATAAAAATTTCAATTAGGTTGAGTGCTGTCATAAGCAGACTACATGAGAAGGTTTGAGATAATATGCATTACATATTGATGTCTATCAGCCCTGAGAACATAGCCATGTTTTATTCCATGCCCCTTTTGTCGGTTTGGCAGCAGTGGCACCCAATAAAGGCCTAATCATATTAATTTATGCCCCTATCAATTATGCATTCAGATTCCCCCGATAGCTTGTCAGTTTTTATTCACTATTTTCTGAAAAATACGCCTATTACAGTTACTGAGCAAATAGGAGGACTGTCAGAAACTGAGATTTAAAGAATATTACTTAAAAGGGGTGGGTTTCTTTAATTTATAAATCTTGTATTATATGTCATGCATTTGTTAGTTTTAAAGAAGGTGACAGTGCAGGGACAGATGTCACATTAAGGACTTTCTGAAGACAAGGGGGAAAGTCTCCTTAAGAAAGCTCTGTGATTGATTCAACTTTTCTTGTAAGAAAGGTGTTCTGTGGTCTGCAGATGTAGTAAAAATGTATCAATTCTGTTAGTTAAGTATGAACTTGATTTTGTGTCTCTAAATTGATATGTATCTATAAAGAACTTAACAGTTTACAAGGTGAAAATACTTTTGTTTTCTTTTCTGGTATGGGAAACACTTTTACAGCCAGCAATGTGGTAGTGTGTTCTAGAATCAGCTCCATCTTTAGGGTCATCATAAGTGGTAAATAAGACATATGAATGGATGTAGTGAGTGAAGTACACAAGTTGCCCCAATCAGTGACATGTACCAAGGAGCTGTGGAGCAGTTTTTGCCAGCAACTTAAAAATTACCTTGGTGTCACTGTGGGATGCAAGACAAGTCCAGCCTACCTTATTCATACATACTATACTGTTTGAATGATCCTGTGAGGGTACTTCCTTTAGGATAGAAGTGCTCTTTGGAGGCAAATCTCCCAGATTTCTCCACCTACCACTCTTTGGCTCACATTGTTGTGCAGTCTCGGAGGTGACAGTCAGGACTCCTTTCTGTGGAAATAGCCTGGGCAATAGAAGCTGCAGGACAGGACAATATTTTTCAACCAGGAATGGGCATTCAGAGTAGCGTGATTGTAGAAGCGATCTGGAAACAGGACAGCCTGCTAGTCCTTTCCTGTCAAACCAGTAGGTGGACTGAGGTTTATCCCCAAAAGTTGGAAATCCTGTCCAAACCACAGACCACTCAACTTGTTTTCTCAGGTTTACTATGAACATATTTAATGAAAATAATAGATCTTGATACTAATTGTCACAATCCTCATTTCTTAATGCTTGAAACCTGACTGTGGTTGCACTCGTTCCCTGCCACTGACCACTGACCACTGACCAAGGGAAGTCCCTCTTTTTCCACCCTCTGGCTGCATCTCCCTTGCTCCGAGAAAATCCACTTCAGGTTATCCTCCTCTTCCTCATTATCTTCCAACAAATTATCACCCTCCTACGTCTAGAGCATTTAAACTGATTTCATGTCCTGTTATACCACTCTCTATGCTGCCAGGCTTTCCCTCCACCCTTCTTTTAAGAGTGTGTTTTTTCACCTAGGCCTTTAAGTGTGGAAAAAAACTTTAGAGAAATAAAAAAAAAGCGGAGGGAGGAAACCTCAGAAGTGCTAATGTTGCCGTTTTATCTTATCTGTTATTCTGTGTGTGGGATTTGCCTCTCTCTGGGTGAGCCCAAAAATGCATTCCTTGTGGTATAAGTGGGGTTTAAGATGACAACAGGATGAGAGAGTTGGGGTTTTTCAGCCTGGAGAAGAGAAGGCTCCAGGGAAACTCTATAGCACCTTACAGTACCTAAAAGGGACTATAGGAGAGCTGAAAAGGGACTTTTTTGCAAGGACGTGTAGTGATAGGACAAGGGGGAATAGCTTTGAACTGAAAGGGGGTAGCTTCAGATTAGATATTGGAAAGGAATTCTTTACTGTGAGGGTGGTGAGGCACTGGAACAGGTTGCCCAAAGAAGTTGTGGATGCTTCATCCCTGGCAGTGTTCAAGGCCGGGTTGGATGGGGCTTTGAGCGACCTGGTCTAGTGGGAGGTGTCTCTGACATGGTAGGGGGGTTGGAACTAGATGATCTTTAAAGTCCCTTCCAATCCAAACCAATCTGATTCTGTGATTAAGGATTTAAGGACACCGGTGGTAGGCCCAGACTCTCCACAGCAGTCTGGGCCCTATTACTTTGTCCTCACTGCAATGAGTTTAGTGCAGTCACCAGTCTCTATCCAGTGGCTTTACTGGGCCCTTCTCTCCTGGAGGGGTTTCCAACCCAGCTTTCACCATGCCACGACTTCTCCCCCACTGGAAAGTTCAGCAGGATAAGCATTGTTCTTTTTGCATAGTTCAGTCCTGGGGAGCCTTGAGAGCGACTCATACTGTTTTGAAGAAAGCCATCTCCCCTTCCTGGTAGGTCTGAATGGAGGGGATCTGTTTGGATGCTCATGTTTTCACATTATATAGGAAATAGAAAAAAACCATCAAGTCTCACCTTGGCAAAGTCCTCCCTTGCTCCAATACAGGGGGTAACTGAGGCTACGCTTTTTGTTTTCTTTATCCACTCCTGAGCCTGTGCTGCTTTTCAGTGCTGCCCAACTATTTCAATAATTAATGAAGACTGAACTCTTGCCTATTAAACAAACTTGTTCTTCCTCCCCTACAAATTCACCCACCCTTGCAAAGTGCTTCTGCTTTACAATGGGTTGTACCTTCCCTTTCCTCTGTCTCTTTGAAGATTTTGCTCTTTGTTCGGTGAAGTCCCCCAGTTCCAGGAACATGTACCACATTACCTAAATCATCCGGTGTTTATTTTAGCCTGACGGTGTTAATGAGGCTTAGCTATGTTACAGCATTTAAAATCTTTGTAGTATCTTAAACATATTGTATCTTAAAGTATCCCCTTCAGGTATGTAAGTATTATCCAAATCATATAAATGGAGAAGTAGAAACAAATGTTTAGGGATTTGCCTGAGGCCATGCAATAAGTCTGTGTCAGAGCCAAGAGTCAAACCCACCTATTTGTGGTGAGTCAGCCCACGCTGGCATGGCTTGGTGTGTTCCTACCATGGAAATCAGCCTATTCACTGTGCATAGTATTCATTTCAATCATTTCATAAACTGGCTCTAGTAGTTGCATTCCCTTTAATAACAACTTTCCCAGAAAAGCTTTTGCTTGCCTAGCTCCGTATAATTCCTACACATCTACGTAGGGAGTAGCATATGGTATCTGTGGCTAGCATAGTTGCTCTTTTTTCTTGTGTTTTGTTTTTACCTCAAACAGGCCAGAAATGAAGTGGAAGTAGAAAAGACTCAAAGACTCTGTTCCTAAAGGGTTGCAAAGATTTCCTGTGTTTGCCCTTGAAATTAAAAAGTATCTGGACAAACATTTACTTTATGGGGTTGAATAGGAGTTCATGCTCCATAATTTTCCTTTCTCTACTTTTTAAGAATTCAGTGAGGCTCCTAAGGAAGTGTGCTTTTGAAAGGTAGAAAAACATACAGGGAGCAAATATGTTTGAGAACATTAATGCTGGGAGTCAGTAATCCAAAAAGTGATGAAATAGTAAAGTGACAAGACCTGGCCTGAACATCTAAAACTTTGATGATATTTGGCAGAGAAAATGAGACCAATTAAAGGGTGCCTCTGGGAAGCTTCACCTTGCATGACCAGAACTTCTACACATCTTGGTGCACTCAGTGCTTTTACAGGGATAATACTCATGTGAATATGAATGGTTTTGCCAGTGTGTTAGTCATCTGCAGGATTTTAGTCTGCACTTGGTTTGGATGCGTTTCTGTAACACTTTTCGTTTCCTGAGAAGACCCTGTGGTGGTCTGCAGTTCAGCCTGACCCTGTGCTGTTGTCTCAGTTCCCCTTTCATGGTGTTTTGAGGTATTAGCAGAGTGAAGGATCCTCTCTTCTATGCTTGCTTTCTCAAACTTCCCCATTTAAAGCTGAAGTGCCTGGGGGCCACTGGTTGGTGTTTGATAACACTCTACACAAGCAGCTTTCTCTTCATCATTACACTAGATTTTTATGCTTCAGTATATATGAGTCTTAAGTGTTTTCCTTGACCAGCAGCCTGCAGATTATAAAATAGCATTCACAAAAAAAGAATAAGACTGATACATCTTTTAAACTCCAGAGTCAACGGCACAGTAAAACACTACTGGATAGCACTGAGATATTTTCCCTCTTCCTAAAAAACGGTGTAAATACAACCAGTAGCATAAAAGAACCTAGAGAATTTGTATTTTTTGTATTATTTGCAATTTGTATTATTTGTAATTTGTTTGCAAAAACCCCAAAGCTTATCGATAACACTATATTTTGGGACACAAAGACAAAGCAATCCTTGGATTGGGAAAAAGAAACACAGAGATCTCTTCAGACAGCCTCTGTTTATTGTGGACTATAATCCACAGTGGGGAATAGAGCTTATTTGAGAGGCATCTGAAGAAGAGCATGGGGAGAAAACAAAGTAATAGTGCCTCTGCATATCATTTTAGGGACAGTTGAGCCAGATGGACTTTTTTCCATACACCTCAGCACCTAAACTATTCAGGCATGAGGCATTGTTAAAATCAGAGCTACTGATATGTGATACTGCGTTGATTGATCATTTTGACCTAATTTAAGCTCATACCTTAAGGAGAAAAGCATTTTGATGAGTTTAGAGACTACAAACATCATGTTGGAAACATGCTTCATCTTTTTCTCTGGCTGATGTCCACCTCTGCATGTGCTGACAGTCAGATGTTTTCCCACATGACTTCTGGTTTTATGTGGTCATACGTGTGCCTGACAGGCAGAGTCATCAACATATTTGCAATTTATTAGTTTTCTATTGCAAAACAGTATTTTGTAAAAATGGATATCCCACTGAAAAGATCTATTTCTATTCCACTTTCTATTCCTTTGAAAAATAAAAGCAATAATTAAAAAGAAAAAAAAGGAGTGGGTGTAGAATGGGACTTCCTATGCACAGGTTTTGTCTGATAGAAAAGGATACATACAGGTAGTGCCATGTTCTATTATTGTTTTAATTGTTAATTTCATACAGTTGTTTTAGAGGTCATCATTTCAGTGACGAAATTACTGAATTACTCAAGGAGAATACTCACAATAACAATTCACAGAGAAAAATCTTAAAAGAACGGATTAGAAAGATGAAGAAAATTATTAGTTAAGAGAATCTGAAAATTTCCAACAATGGAAGTACTTAAAGAATACTTGGTAAGAATCTACAAGTATCTAAAATTTGAATTCTGGAAGGTTTAAAAAATAGCACAGCTTGGTGTCAAGGTGACCAAACAATGTTAAATTAGAGAAGCTCATAGAAGGCTAAAGTTCCTGAAACTCAAGCAAAAATGTGCTTGAACAGTGAGATTGTTTCAAATATGAAATATTTTATAAAATAATTGTAGAAATTATATGGATTGCAGCACTTGTAAGAAAGGGAGTACGCTACCAGATTGAAGTATATTAAAGATGGTGAATGTACTATTCCTCATCTTTACACATTGACCTTGTTTCTGTGTTCAGAAACCATATAGAGAGTTGTTGAGTTGGTCAATAAACTAATCCAGCCATCAATAAAGCACACCTTCTTGTTTATTAATATGTGATTAAAAATGTATATGATAAAAAGATATTGACTGAGCAAAGTTTGGGTGACAAGAACAATTATAGCTTCAAGCCTAATCAGTACATGAGCTGTTTAACCCAGTGAAAGTCAATAGCCTATTTCTGAACAATTACACATTTTGTTTTAAATAAAGTATTTGGAATTTGCTAGTGCTCTCGTTTTCTCTTCGTGATTTAGTCATGAACACAGAAGCAGAGAGAAACAACCACAAAATAAATCACCCAATATAATTCCACTTTATGGTTCTTGTATGATAAATTGGTAAATATGCAGCAAATAGGATTTGTTTTAATTAAAGCTTGATAGCCACAAATAAATTAAACTTGGAATAAGTATGTCTTTCTTTTCAGTTTTATTACTAATTGCACTAGTCTTAATCATATTTCTACAATGTCCTGATTTACTTATTCTTTAATATTTCTGTTGTTATTTCAAACTAAATTCATAATTTTACAGCATCCAAAGTGTTCCGTCTTGATTTCATTAAAGCAGTTTCTTAAACTTAATAAGAAATTATAATAAAAATCTATTTAATTCCTCCCTGAGTGATCTTTAGCTTTTTCAAAGTTTTCTAACAACTCAATGCATCCTTGGTTCCAAAGCAACAATATTCCACAGAGCTCGATGTCTGATGAAAAGTCGATAGCAATACCGAAAAGTTTGAACTGGGTGCATCTTTAAACACCAAAATATTCCAGTATAGTGGGCATTAAGTACAAACTGATTGCTGGTGAATGGTCAGACATTCCTGAGCGAGAACACAGGGTCACTGGCTTGTCCCCACAGTGTTAAAAATTAACTGTGGGTGCAAAGCAAGCAGAGTCAAATGGCTGGGCTATCCACAAGCAGAACTTTTAGTGTTTTTAGCACCGGCTTGTTGCATCAACATTCAAGATCCGGTTAAATCAATGGTACTCCCCAAAGTGTTTGCAAATTGTAAATCTTTTAAGTGGCAGATCAGAAAGCTCCTTATCTATTCCATAAGTATCCTGTTCATCAAACAGTTATAGCGACTAGCATTTCCACAGATACTTTTCTTACCTGCTAATCTTCTTAATTCCTTTGCAAGAATAAAATGATAAAGATGTCAGAAACAAAATCTTTTGAGCTAAAGCTAACACAGTTCCCTAATTTATTCTTCCAAAATGTGTCTGTTTTTGGTGAATGTAAAATTCATCTTATTTTTGATTGCTGCTATAGAAAGTTGTTTTTTCATGAGGAAGAACAAATGAATGAGAGAAATATGCCATTGCACTCACATAGTCTCAAAAGTTTTGGCTTCTTAGAAATGTTGACACTTTAAACACTCTTTTCCGAGTACCTTCATATTAATACATCACTTCTGATCCAATAGTAGGTAAAAGTCAATCATCTTTTTTCCTGACTGATATAAGAGTCACTGTTTGACTCCTAGAAACCAGAGTAAGTCCTCCAGGAGGTCATTTCCATTTGATTATGGTGTAGTTCCAGCATTTTTCCTGGTTGTGTCTGACTTTGGCTAGTGAGGAAGTGGCAGACTGGTGCAGATGGACAATTGGTACAATCCCAGCATGGTACCTGGTGGTCAATAAGAAAAGTTTTCATGTTCTGATGTCTTGTGAAAGAACACTCACAGAGTCAGCTTTGGTTTGTTTTGCCTGGTGATGTCTGAAGCTTAAAAAAGCTAGAGGATGCTCGTCCAGCAATTGAGGACTTCCTATTTAAAAAAATTCCTCTTTGGATGGTACAGTCAGTGCCTCAGTAGTACATGTGAGGGTGCAGCAGCTGTGAGTAAAGGGATTGCCCCAAAAGACAAGCTGGGACATCTGAGATAAAAGTGTTGCCCCAAGTTGCCTTCATGAGAATACATCTCTGTAGCTGAACAATAAAGCTTAGGGAAGTTAGCCCCAGCAACCTGATCATCTGTGGAGTTTAAAGGTCATAACATCTCTGCAGGATGAGCCAAGTACAGTAGGAAAAGTCTGAACCTCTTTTATCTGTGGCACTGATACATCTGAGCAATTTCTGATACATTCTAATCTGAACAAAGAGCTGGGTTTTATATCCATCTGTTTCAAGATGAATGAGAGTTTCTAAATCAAGGGTGGGGAGGATATAAATATGCATGGAAGAAAACTTATTCCTGAAGAGAGGATCCATTGCATTTCAGATTAATAGGTGTAACTCTTCCACTACAATGCTGTATTGTCACACAGTAAAAAAAGATACTGTGGGAGGCAAATTTATTAGGCTAAAATCTATTTTTCTGAGTTTAAACTTACTCATCTGCTTATCTTCAAATAGACTGTGAATACAGCATTGCTGATAATATGTTCTGTTCCAGTCCTTCATTTTATTCCGTCACATGCTTAAAAATATTAGTTCATTTCAGAATGTTGGTACATTTATTACTCTAATTAAATATGTATACTTTAGATCTTTATTCTTCCACTAAATAAAACAGGAGTTTAATTCATTTTAGATTTCATTTATTTGTAATGCTCTTCCACAGCTTTTCAAATTAATACTCTGGCATTAGCTGTATGATTCTCGGTATTTAGGAAAAGCTCACCTGCAAAGCAAATACCCAAGGTGTGTTGATTCATTAGGAAGGTGAATTGTAAAAAATGTGTAGTTGCTAAAAAAATACATATTTTTCAGGTGAAGATGACTTACAAAATCATTAAAATACGGTCATGTTGAGGACTTGTATGATGACTAGGAATTAATTTCTATTTTTATTCATCTCAGCACCCTTACTTATCAGTGTATTTGATCTTCAGCACCAGCCCCTTGAATGCATTTCTCCACCCTTCACCTTCTTCATCATCATCACTCATTTTGTCTATGCAGAAGATGGTGGCTTACTAGGCTTTCTACACAATGTTATCCTGACTCATATACTCTATATAGGACAAAATATTAGTATGTCTTTTGCAATTAAAGTGTGCAGTGTCTGCTTTTACAGGAGTTTCCATTACATAGTGAGAGTTAAAATATAGAGAATTTTCAATTCTGTTATTGTCAATACATTTTATTATGCATGCTTAGTTTAAAAGCTATTCAGGTTTTTGAAGGGAAAGCTAAACTAATCTGCAAACTTAATAAGACTCACAGGTTATAACTGCCAGTTCTCAAGCACTTAGCACTTCTCTGCTAAGTGTCACAACTAAATGCTCTTCATTCTAATAATGGTGGAATAACCCCAGAAAAAAAAACAAAAAAGGAAAAGGGAAAAACCACCCCACGAAAGTGGTTTAAACACTGTACCTCTTCTTGACAAGTTGAATTCGGTGAGAGACCAGCACTCATCTGCCTTTAGAGAGCTGGCTCTGCCTGTGCACAGTTAGAGTGGATGCCTGACTTCTGTTTATGTCTTTGCATACCTTCCCCAGGAGTGAGGCCATGCAGCAGGCCCAGAATATCTTCCTCATCTTCAATTTACTTTCCCAGACAACTCTGCCATTCCCTTCCTATCTACTGGTGATATGCATGAGCGACTAGGGAGTTTTTAAATGAGTGTGGCAAAGATGGACCAGCCACTGCAAGTAGGAAGAGTCAACCTCATACCCAGAAAATTAGAATAAACTTTCATTTTACTCCTCTCTCTAAATGCATGCTAGGGGTGTCCAAGTCAGTTATATCATCAGTGTATTTATGAATAAACCCTGTATCTATAAAATATCTCAGTGCTATTGCAATGAGTGCTAACCTTATACTCTAATGATTTATTGTGATCACCCCTACTGTTGTTTTGGGGCCTTTCACATTACATAGAGATAGAGTCAGATTGCTGTACTTCAAAGTAAGTACATACTTTTATATAATGATCTATTCATTCGCGATTGAATTATAGCCACCTCAGGGGTGGGATGATATAGGATTATCATCACAAGCAATAGCAAAGCTTTATTGACATGAATACTAGCTCTTTGGCTTGGTCAGATGCACTGAGAAAAGCTTTTTTTTTTTGTTCTATTATTATTGGCCATTGTGAGAGGAATCTAGCTCTGCAAAGAGGCTGATAATGTAGGGCATATATATATATACAGCAGCAAATGTACTGTTTCCGTGTTTTCCATGACTTTTGTACTACATCTTGAAATTGTTTGTTTTGGTTTTGTCAATGATGCTAAGAGAGATGTGGATGTCACATCTAAAAGTGTTGTCTCTGATACAAAACAATTTGCTGTTATCTGGGTCAAATCCATTTTCTAAGCAGCCAGATGGCCACCTTTACATTGTATAGTTAAGATTATATTAGTTGTTCTGTCTTGTATATTGGTATAAAAGTGATGGACTCGAAAGCATAAGTTGCTTTGTTAACAAATCCAAGAACAGTACCTACTGTGAACAAGAACAAGGCAGAGAGTCTTTTCTCCAGCAGGTCAGTTTTGTTATGCTTGGTTTTAAATAAGCTCTCTCTTTTATGCACTGGGTACTTCACATATTTGAGGTCTCTAGAAAGCATTAAGCAATTCACTCTCTAACGTTTCAATCAAGCCTGTGGTTTGCTAGAAAAGCAGAGAGATAGGCTGTGGTGGTAAAGGCAATGCTGAAGAGGTCCTTGGCTCAGAGGAAATGGCACTTTATTTGTTACAAGTTACTACTCCAAATAATAATGGCTGCCGAATGCATCAGGACTCTGAGGCTATCTTTATATCTGCTCTCTTACAGTCTCTGTGTTACTAAAAACAGGATGAGTTTTCTCTTTTTGCAATTGCATTAATTTATTCCATTTGTTCAAGTTATTGGAGGTACAATTTTACAGTGCCGCCGTGGTTATTTCTGGGCAAAAATCTGATGCTGAACTGCAAGTCTATTCTGAATGTGAAACAAAGTAGAAGTAGCAAATTATTGTCTCACTTACTGTCTTGGATCAGTGAATGAATTTTAATCCACGGCTAAGCAGACAGTTAATTTGGCTTTTTCAGTGAGTGCAATGACTGCTTGACTCCAGGCCAAGGATCCTCCAGCCGAGGTCAGGACCATGCCTGGTGAGGGCACTTCATGTCTCTGACTAAAAGGAAGAGATTCTGGAGTTCTCCTGTGTTGTAACATGGAAAACAGAACTTTAAAAGTTTAAGAGAAGGGGTTTTTTTCCTGTTTGTTTAAATCCAGTGCCATATAGGGAGATCTGGGTTGTTAATATTGTATCCATCCAGCTGAAATAATTTGAAGATTTTAATCCTTTATTCTTTATTCCCAATGAATAGGTGCCAGTGATACCAACTAAAAAAGCAGTTCAACATGTGCTTATTGAGGAAAAAAAGAAATCAGAGAGTATTTGTACTCTCCTGTTTGATCACCCTTTTGCTATTTGGCTTAACTTTAGTAGGACAGCGGTGTTAGCTGTGTCATACCTGATCACCAGATGACCTGAAATACTGTCTAAAAGGCATCAATCTGCTACCTGTCGTAAGAGCTCAACTCCCTAAAAAATAAAAAAAAAACATTTTTTTAAATAAGCGAGATATTACTGTTACCCCTGAATTTGCCATGGGCCTGAATGAAATGGAAAATCAAGGAAAGAAATTTGATAAGGAATGAAAAATCAAATAACCAAGGCAAAAATGTATTTTAATGGAAATTAAAAAGAACAGCAATAAATTAAGCAGAGGATAAACCTTGTGTAGCCATATAATATTTTACACACACACACAAATTAAAAGAGTATTACAGACTCTATAAACATTTAAAGCCAGTAGGAAGCAGTAGGAAGTGAGAAAGTGAAAGCTAACCACACTGCTCAGTACCAATCCCTTGTGCACATGCTTTATCACACAGTCTTTAATTACACCACTATGTACAAGGAGATGATGAAGAATTTTCCAGGAAAAAAAATGTTTTCCTCAAAATCACACTATGTAGTAGAAAAAAATATCAAAAAACAAAGGGAAAGAGACTGTGCAGTAACCAAAAGGCAAGGCACTATGGCAAATACCTGACGTGAAGTGTTCCACATACGAGTGCTTTCACTGGTGTAGGCATACACTGTGGTCTCTTCTGGGTCATCACCTTGTTTCCATGTTCTCTGGTACCCTGGGCTTGATCCTCTCTTTTTTTCTCCCTCTCCTTCCCCCTTTTCATTAATAACTTTACAAAGCCTTTGTTTCATCTGCTCTTGTGAGATGGTAAATGAACGCAATTTGACAGGGCAATGGGGCTTTTCTGCTTGATCTTGTTCACAAGCACCCCTTTGGCATGCAGAGTAGGTAGTTTGGCATGGCCAAAGCTTTCTTCAGGAGTTGGCTTACAATGTTAATCTTACCTATATCTGGGGCCACATCTGGGGCACACAAATCCTAATCTGAACCCAACATTCTTGTGCTTTTCCTGTTCTTCTCCCCACCATGCTATAGCATCCATGTGCTTATCTTTTACAGCCTGAATTTGAGGGGATAAGATCATCCTATGCTTTTTAATAAATCTGCTTTTTAATAAATCTGTATTCCAAACAAATGCCTGTTAATTTTGAGTATCCAACTAGAGATACTGTCTACTTGATTTTTCAACCTGCTTGGCATTCTGCATCACTTGGCATAGTCAATGCAGAGTCCCACTGATTTTATCTGAGGTAGCGAGTGATTCACTTCAGCCTACCAGACTCCAAAATTTCAAGATGGGCCCTCCTCATATGAAAATCTCAGTTAGTCATTACCTCTTGAGGCAACTTTCCCCACATTGCAGAAGCTTTGAGTTGACAGGGGAATGGAAGCAAACTCAGCAGGTAAAATTCAGCTACTGCTTTGCCACAAAGCCCTGTTTTCTCCCCTTGTAATTCTTCACCTTCTATATAATCCATACCCAGTTCTGCGACAAATTAGACAGGAATCTAGTGAATAAAATCTATAAAGTACTGATCTGTTCCCAGAGGAAGGGTACTTTGCAGGGTTTAGTTTCTACTTCAGGAAATGTGTAGAATTTAGTCTGTGCGGTCACATATCATAAGGTATGGAGGCTGAATTGAGGTGCTCTGAAACCCTCGGGTTAGTCATCTCCGTAACATCCCTGATGTTGTGGCTAGTGTTGAATATGTAACGCATTTCCTTAGTTTGGTGGTGACACACACACAAAAAAAAATCAAAGTACATTTTGAATCAGCTAGGAAATAAGTTTCTTAAAGATCATTTAGTTCTTTTTTAGCATTAGAAAGCAGACTCCATTCCAAATGAAAAGCATTAATTATGTA